CCAGCATTTGTTTTCACCCCCTCTGCATTGGGCTAAGCTGCACGATCACACAACAAAAGGCCATTGTGCTACAGTAAAAAGCTCTGCTCCAGGGAGCTGGTAGTGGGCCACAAACAAAGGCTGGTTACATTGTCCCAACACAAGCTCATGAATCAATTCAACACTGGGCTGCCAAAACAGCCACGGAAAGAGCGCTTCGAGTCCACTAGGGTTTGACAAAGAGGCAAGAGAAAGAGAGTTGATTGAGGAGGGATGTGAGGGTGGGGACGACAAATGGACAGTGAGCAGGATGCACAGCTGGAGCTGGAAGAGAGAGGAGGGAGAGAGATTCAAGATATGTGAAGATGGTGGTGGGTGAGAGGGATTTGTCCAGTGCAGGAAGAGAGGGGGATAGCAGGATGAGGAAAAGGAAAAAAGATAGGGATTTTAAAGGAGTACAGCCAACACAGCAGGGGAAAGAGAGGTGAAGTCAGTGTAAACATAGAGCTGTGTCAACAGACAAGCCTCCTGCCTGGGCTGTAAAGACTCTGTGCATCCCAAATCACAACAGCAGAGCAAGAGTGACATGTGAGGACTCAATCTTGCAACTGACCAATGAGGGTGAAGTAGTTAAAATCAAATTTAGCTGTTCAACACAGAATCCAACAGTCATTTCTCCCAGTACAACCTTGGTCAGAGAGAAAATACTTTCTTTGTTCATATCACACGCCTCTGCACCGCTATTTTCCTATTCTGTCAAGTCAAATTAGCAACGAATCCATCAAATGTTCAGACACAAAGTATGTATTGTATCCAACAGCCGGCCACATTTCACCTTTTCCACACGTGGACTGTGAGGGAATGGAAGGTGGTGACCAGCACTCTGGAAGGAGAGTGTGTGACAGAAAATACAAACTTTGGGGTGAATTATGATATCCATTTCTACTCAGCAAAACAAACAATTTACACACAAAGCCACTAAACACTGAAAAGGACTGGAAAATATATTTACCACTGGCGTTCTTCCCGCAGATAAGGTGTTCATAGTGCTGCAGGACTCCCCACAGCTCAGCGTCATTGTTCACCACCACCTCCAGCGCCTCTGCACTCACTGGGGTGCAACCTGACCCTGAATCCGGCCCCGAGTGACCCCTCTCGGCTACCAGCACTCGGGCTCCTATCTCCTCCACCAGAGCCTCCGTGCATGCAGTCAGACATATAGCCGCGTACTCATGGATGCGCACGGAGATGCGGGTGTCCACCATCCAGCGGAAGAAGCGTCCCACGGAGAAGGAGAGGCCGCAGCGGGCGGACTTGCCCTTCCTCAGCAGCTCCCCGGCGCTCATACTGTACATGGAGATAGCCTTGACCGTAGCAGAGACGCAGTGGTCGGCCAGGGCCCAGCTCAGCACCAGCCTCATGGCGCTCTGCACCTCGAAACGTGTGCAGCGGCAGTGCATGACGCTGAGCCGCTGAGCCTCCCGGGAGATGCGGATCAGAGCCCTGCGGAGGAGAGCGGACAGCCGCCTCACAGCCTCCGGAGAGAACACAGGTGTAGGTCCTCCTTTGATGCTCCCACTCTCGGCCACTTTGCGCAGTATTTTGGCCACCTCCTCTTCGGTCCAAGGGAACTCTTCCAGCTCAGGTAAGCGGGGACACTTGGAGAAGATGTCCTCCGGGTCTTCGGGGAGGACAGTGTTGACCGTGTCCCAGCTGTTGTTCCTGCTGTTCATGGAGCCGGAGTAGTACCACCAGTTGCCCCGGTGAGGGGCCGTCATGAAGGCCTGAGAGTTTGACTTGGAGGAGGACAGGCTAAGGGATTTGCAGGAGTCCCCCGCCCCGTAGCCCGAGTCCAGCGTCAGGTCCTCCAGGGTTTTCATGTGGACATTGCTCAAACCAGCCATTATGGTGAAACGGCTTTTACAGGGGTGCTTTGAAAGAGCTGCAAACCTCGCCAGCGGTTTACCTGGAAGTCACTGAAGCAGTCGTCGAAACTCCCCGCAGAGCAGGATGAACTGGTTACACAGCGCAACACTTGTCAGACATGCTGCTTCACAGAGTTCAGTGTAGGACAGCGAAATAACACAACTGCACAAGCGGAGTAAATCCTGGCAGACAGTTTATAGTCAAAACCGCCCTATTTTGTAGTTTGCAAACTCGGCAGCGAGTAAAATGAAAGTTGCACCCGTCTCACCTTTCCCCCGGGCAGCGCAGGGATTTAAACTTTCCTCCAGTGTCCGCCGTCTTTTAAAACACGACGAAATGTCTCCTCGCTCTCTAAAAACAGCCACACGAGTTAATTTAAGGGAAAAAAAGGACACAAGCCCCGTGTTACCGCTCAACAGAACGAAACTGTTTCGTTTTCGCAAACAACCGTGGAAAAGTCCGAGTTTACCTCACCGCTCTCCTGTCCCGGCGCCTCGCTGAAACAGCCTGCCGGAGAGAGTCGGCTACAGATGTGTGAGAGGAGGGACTGCTACTGATCGACAACACGGAAGCAGCACGGAACACCAATCAGAAGAAGCCAACTTTTGCGGCAGCCAATCAAGAACGGCTCCAAATCTGTCCTAAATTTGGGAGAGTAAGTAAACTTCGTTTTGTCCTAAATGAGCATCAAACAAATTCCGTTAACATGTGTGACCTATATTAAGCTGTATTTTCTTTGACCTACGAATTACGCACTTTTTCACACAGTGACACGGCATCATTACAAAAGTTTTATATCACTTCAGCTATTACCATTACTATTTTTGTGGTTAAAATGTTTGTGTTTCTTTGTGTTTCAGTGTTTGATTAGTTTAATTATTCATACACAAATATATTTTTTGTATTTTTTTTATTAGGATATTTACAAGTGTGGGCAAAATTCTCTGATTAGTTTACTGGAACCAAAAAGCTTAGGCCTTCCAAGCAGACTCTAGTTATCTCCTCATGTTGACTCAGAGGGGACTTGGCTTTCTGCCTACACATTAGCTAATCTCTCACCTGCAGCTTGTAACACATATTGTATTTGTAAAGCCCTTGGTAATAGTGTAAGAGGTGGAGCAGTGTTTGCCTTGATCTATTGAGGCTTGGCATTTTCACTGAAAGTGCATTTAAAGGCTTATTTAGGATTGCGCTGAAGATAGAAACAATGTAATGGCGTGAATAAGTATATGCAATATATATCAAATTTTCTTCTCTTTTTTCATGTTCAACTAAGAAGTTGTTTACTGGTGTATATGGGTTGTACCCAGTCCTCTACTTTGTGCTCATTCAGTACTAGTTCAGAAGAGGTAATGCCTTAAAAAAAAAAAGTGGCAGCTCTTGCTTTCAAAACAAAGAGTGAGCAAATCCACTTACGAAACTTCACAGTTTGGCTCATCAAGTTTGTTGTTTCTGGTTTGGTGGTGTAACACGCTTAAGGTGAAATAAAACAAACATGCTGAAGAAGCCTGTGACTACTTGCCTTTCATCACTCTGCACTCACACAGACAGGTAGGGTGTGTCCCAAGAATCCAACACTATTACATAATGGGTTTAGGGCAGAGCACTTACCCTGCATGCCCGTGAGACTGCAACACATTGTGAAAGTGACTGTAATGAATGTTTTCTTGCACGTATGAAGATCTTTGAGTTACCGTACATTCTATATTATGCAGTATATGTACTTCAATTGGAAAAACTGACTCTCAACCACCTACACACTCACACATCATGGTCTATGAATCACTTAGTTGGGGGAACTGAAAACAGAGTCAACCTTTCAGTCCAGCTAACCTCCCCTGTTTGTCTCTATTAGTCAAATCTACTCTAAATGAGATCAGAAGACACACACACAGGGCGTAGAGCAGATCACAGGAGGTTAGCACTTGCCTCATCCAGCTGCCATGTAGCTGTGGTGTAGACAAGGCTTACCTCACGGTCTGTGTGTGTGTGTGTGCATGTTCAGGGCATACGTCAAGCCAGCGCACCACTCATAGCAATATCACACACTAGTGGGGGGGGTTCAACAAATCAAAACAAAAAAACTCTGCAAATGATTAAATGTGGTTTGAAAACACATCAGCCCTGTTGGGGTTCAAACTGTTAGTTTCATAATGTTTGGTTTTCACTCTGCATTGGTCATAAAACACAATGAATGTTATATTAGATCAGTTTAAGTTATAACGACTAGCTGGATAGTGATGTCAGCCACAGAGTAAAAACAGCAAGGCTTTCACAGCAAGGCTTTCACATGATATCATATTGACTAGAGTCTGTTGAAATCTCGTCAAAATGTGCTTTCAGTAATCAGTTTGAATATATCTTAATCTAGCTGAATTGGCCATAGTTATAAATATTGCTCAAGAAATAGGTTTGACATTTCAATAGGAGTTCTTGAGTCACATTCAGCTGTTGTAGGCTGTATAATGAATTTTATGGGTGTTTTACACACCCACTGAGGTTGATTCAACCTGTTGCGTGGAGGAGAAAAGCTTTATCACGTCACCTAACTGAAATAATCAAAGTGAACTACTCGTTATTACAAACGGTTGAATTATTTGCATAAAGGAAGTAATCCCTGAAGCTCTCGAGAGTGTTGGTTCAAGTGTGTGTGAGCATGTGACAGGGGGATTTTGAACTCTGGCAATATTTTTCATGTTTACTCATTACGCATTGTGTCTTTTTTCTGCAGTGAATCAACCCACCCCTGCAGCAAATATGTATTTAATTTCATCATTTAAATGTGTTTTATGTCTTTCAACTACTGTGCCTCTGCGGGTACAGTATATGTGTTTGTGTGGGTGCAGCACCACCTTGTGGTCAGATAGGGAATGGAGTTACTTCCAGTTGTAGTTGTTGACACTACAAAGCAACAACAATAAGTAAGACCAACTAAAATTGAAAAATCAAAACGCATCTGAAAAATGATGTGGACGTAAGCATAAAATTTTATTTGCAAAAACCCAACAAATCAAAATAAAAGTACAATACATTCTTAAAACCTTTTCTCTACAAAACAATTTCACAGAAATTACCTTGGAATGTATATTCCTATTTTTCATTTTTATGTTTCTTATATATATATTCTTATATTTAATGTGTTTCTTTTGTTCTTTAAATAATCCCATGTCAATGTTAAATGACGTACAGAATAGACCTTTTTTTTCCTGTAGAGGCAAAGAGAGGGTCTTGGAGGGCATTTTTTGACAATCGCATAGTCAATAACAGATCATTAGCTTTCATCCATATATATGTCCAGTCTTGAGCCCTCCAGCCGTTCCCCATCAATATAAGTACCATGTTGCATAAACAGAGGCATTAGCAGCCCGGCCTCCAGCCAAACTAATGGGAGCAGGTGGGGTCCCGCTGGACAGCAGCTGCCAGTGAGTTTCCATGACACCTCCCGTTCCCTCTCAGTAGTCATTTATACCATCTCTGTCTATCTCACCAACAGGGGCAACTGGCTTGCAAAGACCACTCCTTGCTTCTAAGGTAATATAACAAACAGACTGACACATCTGTAATCTGTTTAAGAGAACCATATTTCCTTCTTTTACAGTGTATCTGAATTTACAGTGACATTACAGCCTGCTGATAAATAACATTGTACTTCTGTCTGTCCCTGCCCTCTTCTGTCATTAGAGTAGTTTAAAAACTGCCTGCAGCCAAACCCTGATAAAGGCACACATTTGTGAAACAGCCATGCCTTGCCACATCCTGTCTGACACATGAACTGCTCTCCCCTCCTGCCGGAGCTTTATACAAGCTTAAAAGAAGAGTGTCGACGTTTTCAACAGCGAAGCATTAACCTGTCTCGTGGTATTTTTAATATGAGAGATAAAGTTTTAATCCCCCAAATTTAATATATGAAATGCAATTCTCAGCTCAGAAAATGCTTAAAAAACAATGGTGTGACAACTTCAAATCAAATGTCAGAAAGCTGTCGTAGTCCTCAGCTCCCCTCCTGTTACAGTGTCACGTTCCAGTTGACAATGAGGTTAGAGATGTGGAGGGAATGAAGGATACCGTCAGTAGAGTTTAAAAGTGTAAACCAGTCACAAATTCAGTGTTTTAAAACAGAAAATAGCACCCCCAAATATTAGCGCGTCTGTACAAATGAAAACCCCCTTTTAAATAACTAACAGAAAAACAAATTTCAGTTAATGAAACAAAATTAATCAAGTCATAACCGATAGCTAGCAGTAATCTGGATGTAAAACTGATATTACAAAACAGCAGCAGGGCTCTATATAACGTTTCAAGAGATACAAATACACAGATTACCATGACGCTGAAGATGAATTGAAGATAAAAGAGAGAGGGACAGAAAGAGATGTAAAGATGATGCATCTGTCAGTGTCTGTTTGGAAAAGGGCTTCTCTGATTAGGAAACTTTTTGTTTCATAATATCAAATATCGGGAAAACGTCAGCACCTCGGTCATACTGGTTAATGATATTCAACAGGTAGTAGTTGATGTATTTAGAAATAGTGTTTACCAAAACCATAGTTCCTCTACTCGAGCTACGCCACCATGTCTGAATCTATCGGAATAACATGTTGTCACACATTCTATAAGGCTCCCATGTGAGAGCGTGTTAGAAAAAAAGATCTTAGGTTGTCTTCTCATCTCCTTGTTAGAAAAAGGTGCTTCCTGTCATCATAAGCACACGCAAGCGGCAACACACCCACACACACTTGTATATATACAGCACATACTCACGCATACCCACAAACACACACACGAAAACAGCTGCTTTCCAGTCTGTCTGAAAACATTGCGCCAAAAAAAGGGCAGAGAGAAGGAGAACAAAAATAACTCTCTTCTCTCTGTACAGTAGTTCAGTCAGTGAGGCAAAGTGATGACTCAGATCTGTCTGCATAAACAGCTCGCTTCCAAAGTTCACATTTGGACTCCGTTTCCTCATACAGACAAGCATACAAGAGGGGCCGCTGGCGAAACAGAGGCATCCCCGAAAAGGAGCCTGGCTTCAAGAAAAGGCAGAGTTCAGGCAGTGGAGCGAGCTACCAGAGGTCTCTCTCTCTCTCACACACAGTGGATCTGCAGGTAGGTTTTCAGGATCCTCCGACCAGCAGGGAACAGCTATCCCTTAGGAGTTTTCTTGTTTTGGGCGTTCCACATGCCTCGTTTGGAGTGGTAGTAGTGAAAGAAGTTTCTCAAGCGTAGTCGCTCAACCTCCAAACCATTCTGCAACACTCTAGATGGAGAGGGAGACACACCGGGTTAAAACTGGGTTTTAAAGGGTGTCTGCAGCGTTCACCAAATTAAATGAAAGACTTTGTATTCCCGTGGAGAATGGTATTTAAGACCGTTTTCATGGTCATAACGGATGAAGAATGATGGAAAACAAACAATAAAGCCTAAAGCTACGTACATGAAGAACATTAATTTAATTTTGTCAGTAACTTATTCCTAGTAATATAATTGATCAATTAACCTGATCTGGACCTATGAATTACTTAACAGGCCTACGGGGCACTGTATGAAGTGACTGTTCAATGTCTTGTTTGAAAGTCACAGAACTTAATGATAATACTACAAAGACAGATGAGCTATCCCACAGAGACACAGAACAACCACAAAGAACAAAAAGGCTTCAAAGAAATGCAAAACGATCACAGAGAGATGCAAAATAGCCACAAAGAAACACAAAATTACTACAGAGACACTAAATGACCACAAAGAGACACAAAACCGCCACAAAGAGAGAAACAACAACAAAGATGTGGTGTTGTGTTGTTTGTATTTATTTTATGTCTCTTTCAGTATGAGGGTCCTACACCGGACGGCTGAGGGGACCTTTTATTTGTTTGATCTGATTTGCTTGTTCGATTCCGTGCAATTGTGTCCCAACAGCCAAAAGGTAAAACTAATGTTACTGTCTGCAGCAGGCAAGAAAAAAATTCACAACCTTTGTAAATTAAATGAGACTTTTTAATACCTTCTAAGCTCTGTTTTTGAGGGAATTGAAATCAATGCTTTGTGAGACATTTCAGCGCCTGCAGATACAAGTTTTTTTCATCAAGGAGAAAAGACTGAGACCACAGCAACTGATCTTGGTAACTGTAACCAGGGGGTGCCTTCGATACACTGTTTAAACCTTTTACTCTGATTTTATTCAAGGGTCAGTTAAAGGTCAGGTTTTGAATTAGCCATCTCATCATTTTAAAAGTGCCAAAAATGATATTCCATCTCCACCCTTGTTATTCATTTTCAGTGGTGGCAGAAATCTGAGAGGTGCATGTCTTAAAACCTGCTCAAATGAATCTATAGCTCAAGAGGAACCCGAGACAATACGCGTTTAGGACATTTACCATAAACAGATGAGGTGCAGCAGTGCTTCAGTTTAAGAAACAAATGTCAATATTTTATCAGAACTGTAATGAACTGTGATATATAAGAGAAGGTCATGATCTTATGAACCTCTGTAGAACTCCCAATACAAAGCACATAATGTTTAACTACAACTTCAAAAGTTACCATAGAGTTGGGTCAACATCTCTCCGACAAAGTCTCAACAAAAATGAACTTTGAGACCTGCTAATAGGGTTATTATGTTGGCTTGTTGCTGGGTTACCTGTCCAGCAGCTCCCAGTCCTCTCCACCCCAGCGGTCTTTGAATTCCTCTGTGTTCATCCCTCCAATCTTATCAAAGTCTGTCTTGTAGATTCCAAACAGGCCAAAGCCATTTACCTCCCAGTAACCTGCAGAGAGGACGAAAAGAATGTTAATAAGAGCTAAGAGTCCCGTCGCATGCCACTGCATCGACAGTGATCACGGTAAAAGGAAAATCTGATGCTTATAGAAGTATGTGCTTCTGATGCAAGTCTGTTTATTAGGACTGTAAATTGAAAACTATTATGAATTCAAGTCGTCTGATGTCTGTAACTGAGGAGCGAGTCAATATATGTTACCGTATGATTGCGATTATTCCCTGTGTGAGCACAGACAAGAGCCTTCATTCATGTATTGAATATTGGTGTTACCGTCAGGCTCTCGTGGTGAACTGCCACAGCTGAGTCTCATGACTATGGGAGCAAAAGCAAGGCGTCCCTCGACACAGTGCTTCCTGATGCTTTCCAAGATGTTGAGAGGGAAGTGGATGTGCAGATCACACAGGAACACGATGCTGTGACTGTCCTGCAAGGGGAAAAGACAGACGAAACAGTAATGTACACATTCATTACATCTGAATAATGTCTAAATCTTTCCTACGTCTGGGTAAAGGAAATGTGTGTGTGAAGGATTCTGCCTCTATGAGCTGGTGTAAATTTGTGTGTATGACAGTGCATGTTCACATACGCCTAATATGGGATTTTAGGATTAAAGAGAGTGAAGAAGTCTGGGCTCAGCATCAGTGGCTTGTCTTCACTCCAAGAGCCTGCAGGTCATTCAGACATGAGTGACAGCCCTGTCATCCCACCGTGACAGCGCTGACACTCAACTGATGGATTAACGTCTGTCCAAATTTCCAGCCGCTCCACGCCCCCGTGGGTGGGGTGTGCATGCGTGTGTGTGATAGAGAGACAGCCAGAGAGAGGCGTAAGAGCACATGCACACAAATAACCTGTGAAAGGGAGTGGATGTGACAGCTATGGCATACACATGACAGAGGAAATGCAGCTAACTGTCTAAGCGATTCCCTGTCATCCACAGCTGGGCTCTGTGGGAGAGGGAGAAGGGAAGGAGGAGGAGGAGGCTCAGAGATAAGGCCGTGATCCGCAGCCCGTGACAGACCGGCCCAGCAGTGATGTATTCATTATGCATGAGTGTTCTTTCCGTCTGTCCATCAGCCAGTAAAGGTTATGTGGTCAGTGTGAGTGGCTGACCTTCAGTGAGTGGCTTTTTCCCTGCCAGCTCGCATATTGTTGTCTTGCCTGTGTGCGTTTGTTTTTCTGACCTCAATGGTGTCCACTCCGATCTGCAGTCCCGCTGAGCGCTCAAAGTTCCCCTCTCTCCTAAGATACTCGTATCTGTCAAAACAAAAATATACACACAAATCACTTAAAAAAAAATCATTTTCTAAGTCATATCACTTTGCTGATTATGTTGCACGCACATGACACACACAGACCTTGGCACACTGCTGTCTCTGAGCGCCTGCTCCACGTCCATGTCTTCGCTCTCAAAGTCGACGATGATGATGCTGAAATTGTCATCCTTGGTCTGGCGGTGAAGATTCTCCATGTCAGAGATAAACTGCTGTACCCACCGAGCCTGGTTCTTCACTGACGGACAGTAAGGACAAAAAACCTTTTACTTTCATGACGTTAATTTGCATCATGTGCAGGTTTTAAAAGATTATTTGGTTTTCAAAGCTAAATGACATTACTGACTGACCCGGCACCACAAAGTGCACCATGACATCTCTCCTCCACTGCAGCATGACCGGCTGGCAGAGCAGAGGCTTAGCATAGGCGGTGCTCCACGGCGTCGCTCCGGGCCGGGCGGGGGACTTGGTGGAGGGAGGGGGCGGCGGGGTGGCGAGGCTGGATGTAGCAGGGGAGGGGGCTGAAGCTGGTGCCGAGGCCGGGGCAGAGTCGGTGTTCTCTAGGCTTTCCTCCCCTTGCCTGCCGCGGTGCAGCAGCAGGTAAATGTATTCTGACAGACGCACCACGCTGCGGCCCCTCTCCATCAGCTCCAGCTCCACCAGGTAGCGATTCCCTCTGGCCGAGTCACGCCGCTTCTCCACGTTGATAATCCGCAGCAGGGTGTAGATCCTGGGGCACAGACAGAAAAGAAAGGTTTGAGAAAAACACAGACAGGTTGTACATGCTCTGAAAAATAATACGGAAGAAAACAAAAAGGCTGCAAAGAGAAAACACTATTTCTTATATCTTTCTCACAACTGGATTAATTATTGTTTGACTGGGAGGCAGACCACTTCAAAAATGCTGCTACTCATTATCTGTGTTGCTGTGAAGCCAACATGGTGTGATGTGGGAGGAAAATGAAAACAGAGAAAAAGTTAATGGCCAAAACTACTTCACACAAATAACAACAAGGTTTGTAAGCACTGCTGCAGAAAACAGTAATCAGCACATAGAGGTCTGCGAACATGAAGTCAAAGCACCGGGGCGTGACCAATATGTTCTCACTGAAATTACTACTAGCTTTACATAATAGCTAACCACATTTGAATTTACAAGGTTGCAGGGAAACATGAGCCCTTTTAGTCTAATATTACTTTCACTCGCTCTCCTTTATCCTTACCCTCCGTTGCGTTCGTTGAGTTTCTCCATGTACTGCGCCAGCACGTCCACCACCTCGCTCTCTGCCAGCTGGAGGTTGCCGGACACATTGCAGCGCAGGTCGTTCCAGTCAGAGCGCAGAAGCTCAAAGTCCATCGGATTGACTGAGAAGGTCCTCTGCCAGTTGATGCTCTCCTCCGCCCAGCCCGGCCGAGCCTCCACCTCCTCGTAGCTGTAGTCCGACATCTCGCCCTCCTCTGGCTCCGGCTCGGGATCCGGGTCGGGGTCTGGATTAGAGCGGTTTGTATCCTGGTCGAGTTCCCCCGGGTTGGGGTCCGGGTCTGGCTGCTGCTGGGACTCGGTGATCTCTGAGATCTTGAGGTAAGAGGTGACCCTCGATTGACCTTGGAGCATGTTTTCTGTGGAGTTTAACCTTGGCAGGGTAACTAGAGGGGGAGGGGGGTCTTGGTGATGGGATAGGGGAGTTAGTGGGCCTTCTTTGCTGGGTAGATCAGCCGTGACAGTCGTCTTCAAATCCTGATGCTCCCCTTTCCTCTTGCTTTTCTCTGGTTGTTTTGCCACTGCTGATCTCCTGACAGTCTTCTGTACACTTTCATTTTGTATGTTGATGCTTCCATTGTGAGGAGATGTCTTACCCCCTTTTGTGGGGGGGTTGGGCCAGAGCTGAGGAGCACTAACAAGGCTCCTACCTCCTGTAACCCCTCCCCCGGCATGTCCTTTGGCACCCAGGTTGACCAGCCTTGTGGTCTTCCCAGTTTGGTACAAAAAGACTCCCGGGAACACCTCCCTGGGGTGGCGAGACGCCCTCTCCTCCCTCCTCTCTCGACGCTGCTCCCTCTCCCTCTCCCTCTCCCTGGCGGGCCGAGGCCTGGTGATGTAGATCTTGTTCTCCTCCTTCCTGTTTCCAGCCAGCTTGTTGTTGTGGGCGTTGTTGTTCTTGTCATAGGGATTGTTGCTGTGGGCGGAGTTGCTGAGGATCTGCTTGGCACGGCTGGCAAGGGCAGAGAGGGAGGACTTTTGGGGGAAAAGGAGCGAAGACTTGCTCAGTTTAGGCGGAGTCTCAGCTCCTTTCTCTCCTCCTCCTCCTCCTCCTCCTCTTCCTCCTCCACCACCTGTTCCTCCTCCTTTCCTGCCAGGGCCCTGCTCTACAGGACCAGTGTGGATCCAGGACAGGGAGCGGCCCCGGACCACACTGTCAGTATCAGGCTCAGGCAGTCTGGGTTGAGGCTCGTCGAGTCCCTTTCTTGAATCCTGTCTAATGCTCCCTCTTGTGTGATCTCGTCCCCAGTCTCTGTCCGATTCCCTACCCATCTGTCCATCTCTGTGCAGAAAGTGTCTCCTTTCTCTGCGGCGGATGATATGATTGTTGACTGCTCCCTCCTCATCATCATCGGGGTCCACCTCCTCTTCCTCCCCCTCTCTGCCGGCCGGTGTGGGCCCGGGCTTTGAGTGCTGATGGGAGGGGTTGGAGGTGTGGCTGGTCAGGCTGGGATGAGAGGGCTTCTTGGGCGACTGTGTGCCAACGATCTCTGCCTCGTCCTCGCCTTCGACCACCTCCTCTTCCTCTAGGAAATCTGCAGGCAAACACAAAGAGCGTCGAGTGTGTGTACGTGTGTGTGTGTATATATATGTGTGTGTCCTGTGTGTATGCAGGAGTGTGTGTTTTTTTCATTATTAGTTACCATCTGGATTGGGGAAGAAGAACGGTCTGTCATCTTCCTCCTCATCCATCTTCATATATTTGTAGAAGCCAAATCTGGCACACACACACACACACACACACACACACACACACACACACACACACACACACACACAGAGCAAGAGCCACATGCATTAACAGAAGGCTGAAGTTTCAATGTGTATTCAAATTGCCATCGAACTCACAGACACTCAGTAACAACAGTTATTCTGTATAATAAGTGTATTCACTTATATACAGACAGAGACAAATGTTCCCTTCGCTCTCTGATAGATAAAAACAATAATGTCCTTACTTTTCTAGGTAGATAGGAGACTCTCTGTAGAAACACTTGTTCTCTCGCTCCATGTGGGTGAGACGTGTGAAGTCATTGGGGTAGACAAAGGATAGATAAACCTGAAGAAAAGCACAATGTCAATCAAAGATGAAATAATGCGAGAAAACACAGATAATTCTCATTTAGCAGTATTCTACTGGGACTGCATTCATTTAATTAATATCAGCCACTTGCTCTACATTACACTGCGTTTTCTTACAGTGGTTCCTGTCAAATCTAAAATGGATTTGTTTTCGTGGCTCTCGTTTCCAGCTCGTCACTTGTCTCTGGAGTTGCTGCAGTAACTCCTGTTGGCCTACAGAGGGAAGCAGCGCTCAACACTACCTGCCACCTGCTTCATTAATGTGTTTTTCATACAAAGGGAGAGATGCGGTGTTAATGTCCAAACCGGCATGGACTGAGCTTCTCTGCTTCTTTGTTCTCTGTCCAGTTGATCTGAACGTGAGGGACTACTTTTTCAGCAAATTAGATGACGACTGCTTTAACGGGATGCACTGATAACCCCACAGATATCATCTTAGCACAAACCGCCAATTAAAACACAGACAAAAACATCATCATGCATCTTGAGTGGCATGTCTTTTTACAAACCCAGAGGAATGGTGATTGAAGGGAGACTTACAAACTGCAGGCCCTGATATCTAGCGATGGGAAAATCTTTGACCACGTAGGTTGGCGAGTAGAGACAGGCCGGCAGAACGTTTTCCAGGCGGGAGGGGTCGATCATAGGAGCTGAGGAGAGAGACAGAGAGAGACAAAGAGGAGGCAAACATCTCAGAGATTGGACAAACAAATATGTATATGGAAACTTAAGAGACAGAAAGCTGGGAGATATTTGGGGCAATGACAGAAAAAAGGAGGAAAACGCACGAAAGAATGAGACACAGCCAGCAAGATGAAATGACAGTGCGAATCCAGCTACACTGGACTGTGAGCCAGACAATCAGCCAGACACTCAATCAGACAATCAGAGAAAATCAAGATGAGGAGAGGAAAAGGGGGGGATAGCGTGAGATGATGACCGGCAGATTTACTGCTGTAGAAGGTGTCCCTGGGGTCCGGCTTCAGCATATCCGCTCCGTGCTGCATGATGCTGCTGCCTCCTTCCACACCCTGGGGCTGAGACTCCTCAGGGAGACGGATGTGACTGGCCAAGGTCTGGGGGATGTGGTCCACACTGTTCATCTTCAAACTGGACTCATCTGAGAAATACAGAGAGAGAGAGAGAGAGAGAGAGAGAGAGAGAGAGAGAGAGAGAGAGAGAGAGAGAGAGAGAAAGAGATAGTATTCTCTGTTTTGATCATCATGTGATTATCTAGTGACGGACAAATTTGATGTTAGCTGTTGGAAAATATCATGCACATTATCTGTGTCGCATCATCATAAATCCTTACCAACCATGAAAAGGTGGAGGAAGGGGAGAGAAGAGACAAACAGAGAGGCAGAGAGGAAAGAAACAAAAGAAGCGAAGGGAGAGGAGGAGAGCAGGAGCAAAAGCTGAAGTGTGCAGATCAGGAAAAAAGTTGGAAGAAAAACAAAAACAGAGCAGAGGAGAGTCATAATTATACCAATCGATATCAGGGAAGGAGGAGAGAGCATGTGTGATTAATGGCATGTCAAGAGCAAGGCCTGATGGGAGAAATGTTTTATAATTAACAGGGCGGTCAGCATCATTTTTATCCTCCAGTGTGTGTGTGTGTGTGTGTGTGTGTGTGTCTTTTTGTGTGTGCACATGCTACACGGAGTAAGCCATTTTTTTTTATATATCTAACAATGAGACATTTGTTGATCACATACCTGGTTTCCACTACACACAAACCACCGGCAAGACTCTAACTATCTGCGTTACTGAAATCTTCCCAGCAGAACAACAAAACTCTTTTTTGTTATTCTGTTGTGTGTGTGTGTGTGTGTGTGTGTGTGTGTGTGTGTGTGTGTGTGTGTGTGTGTGTATTTGTAAATCCATTAACAGCTGTGTTGGGCTTTTATGTGAGTTTTCACTGACTTCCGAACTGTCTTAAAAGAAATATACTCACAGCAATTACCAGACGTATTTAGCTTGAACCCATGAGAAATTATATTGGAGCTGTGATGAATATTCCTATAAATTAGAATGTCAAGTAATGCACAATGAACAATTATGCTGGCATAATAAACGATTATTTCATTTGTCATAAAAAACTAACAAAAAAACAATACAGAGTTAAACAGTTGAACAAATGCACTCTGCCAGTTTGGTGCAATTATTCCTGGTTTTCCAGAGACTAAAAAGTTAGTTAGTTATAATTTCTCAACATCTCTTAGCATCCAGCTTCAATGTTACGCAAATCAAGTTGTTGAAGTGATGAGACTGAAGCTTTTACTTAAGTATTAGTAAATGATATGCTCTTATCAAGTGCTACAACTGTTGAACACACAATGATGTTAATTAAAATCCAATCAGAGACCTAATTAAACCGAATAACACAGAATATCTTTGGACAAGCCACAAAATGTTTTTTTTTTTTTCCTCTGCCAAACAGGTATGAATATTTAACATTTTCTACAGTGACAAAAGGGAGAAAAAGCAGCGAGGGGAGAGAGTCAGACGAGATCCTCCTCTGTCGTAGCTGGTCCTAAACAAGAAGGCAGCATTTGGCACACATCCAGCGAACACTGCAGCTTTGCTCAAAATGACAGCTCCACACATCATTTTCTGTGCGGCTGGCATTTTCCCCTGTTAACGATACTGAATCCCTGTGACACACTGCTATTCTTGGAGCTACAGAGGTTAGACATCCACTCAGAAGCTAGAGCTCTCATCTCTGCTACCAATGACATCTATAGAGAAAAACAGAGCATCCATTAGGTTCTGTATCTCCTCTTTGGCCTCACCTACAGAAGATATGCCATGCTGAGACAATGAATGTGAGTTTGATAAGAGAGAAAGAAGGGCTGATTCTGTGATCATTACCAGACTAAACTAATGAAGTTGCTTTTTTTTTTTTTATAGCATCATTTCCTCTTTCACACCGCTGACAAAAAGACTATATTTCACTATATATGCTTTACGCTTCTTAGCCACAAAACTTATAACTGCATTTTTATAGATTTATGATGACATTTGTTTTCTTTCCAAGATGAGATGACAGAGTAGCCTCCCATGCAAGGTAGAATATTAGCAGGGCAGAGTCACTCTTACCTGTGTACAGGGAGATGTAGGCTGAGTCTATCACTTCATATTTCAGACCGGGGAGGAATGGACGCCACTGTGTGTGAAAGCACAGAGGGAGAGAAAAGGGATTGAGTGAGAAGAGAAAACCAAATGCAAACATGTGGAAAGTATAAGGTGACCATGACAACTGTGACACGACTGTGATATTAATCTCAACACCATCACAGGATCGATCTGATGCTGGGTTGTTTCTTTTTTTGTATAAACACACTTAACCAGACAAAGATGGGAAAACAGAAAAAAAATCTGTGGCACATGAGTAGAGAACAGGAAAAGTGAAGCTGTAAAGGGGAAGGAAGGAAAGAAGGAAGGAAGGAAGGAAGGAAGGAAGGAAGGGACAAATGTGCAAACAAGAGCAAAAGAAAAAAAAAAAGGGAGAGCGAGAACAGAGCCGTAGGAATAAAACGCTGACAAGTAGGTGTAAAAAAGGAAGGTCTAGTAATGACCTGAAAACAGAGAGAGGCATGGAGAGGGAAATAAAGAGAGGGAGTGAGAAAGAGAGAGAGAGAGAGAGAGACAAGCTACAATTCTTTTAAATAGATTTCACAATTACCACGTCACTTCTGGTTACCCAGGATTTAATCACAGGAGACAGGTCATTTTCCAACCCTCAGGTTGAGAATACAAATATAAACACCCTCCTCGGGCTCATTCAAATGCCTCCACATGTGTATGCAAAACACACACACACACACACACACACACACACTCACTCACACACTCACACACTCAGTTACAGTTTTAGATTTTGTTGCAATCCACATCTTGTCATTCATGTAGCACTAATAGGCACAACAACTGCTGATATGTAAAAGCCAAAATCTATCATTTATTATACTATTCTGTGTTACTCCTTCACACCCAGTGCCGCCACATTAATACAGAAGCACACATATCCATGCAAGTGCACTAGAAAAGACAACAAACAAGGACACGGTGCGACATCATGCTGAGCAGCAGCGGGGAGCAGCTCAGCAGGCCACCGACCGCTTCAACACTGTGTCATTATTTCAGGGTGGTTGTCCTCAAGGTCAAATCAGAAGGCTGTCACAGCCTGACTCAAGGGAAGGACAAAAAACATACGAGTTTTAACTGAAAAGGTTTAGTTTTACCCAACTAAAAGCAACAATTAAAAATAACTGTATTACAGACGAGTTCAAATGTAGCAACAGCAGCGGATGAATGAATGATGAATGAACAAGTCGTGAGAGGAGAGAGATGGAAACACTGGATGATTGACAGTAGATTCTACAGTACAGCAGGCTGTCAGACAAAGTGGGCAGAATCTGCCATTTTCACAGCCGACTTTTTGACTTGTAGTAGGAAAAACCCAGGTGTTACAATAATAACATCTCCTGTTCTATTCAAGGGTCCCAGACAGTAATCCATGACAGTGTGACGCTGAACCAGAATGCACAGCGCCAGGACCCTGAAACTGAAGCAGCTAAATGTAATTCAAAAATGTCATCTGTGAAAGTAAGGCCTGATGACCCTTGACTCTTGCCTCCAGGATCCGACAGTGTGAGAATTGAGAAAGTGTGGAGGCCTTTCAACTGATCCTACTTACTTAAAAAACATCACACAGTTTTGTGTGAAAGTTTGTTCTTGACCTTGGAAGCAAAGGTTTGACAAAAAAACAAAAAAACAACAAAAAAGTGTCACAGTTCAGGCTGCATTGCTGCAAAGAGAAATGCAACTCCTGATGGCAAAATGCAATTGAAGCATGATTTTGTTAAATTCAAAATGAGACTCGATGCCAGTTAATGTGTTTCAGCTGCCTGTGTGCATATAGGCAGAGGGTCATCACAGGATCCATCATTTTCAAGGCTCACTGGAGCTCAACACTCTGCTGCTGTCACATCAGCCTTAAGTGCACAGGAGACACACACAGACATAAACAGTTGAAATACTGCATGTGCACCTGTGTGGCCTAATTTACAGCCTCGTGGGAGTTTCATTGTCTGGCCCCATAGATTCCCTGATTAATTCCTCCATGGGAGGCATTGAGCTGGTGTGGATCTAGATGTGTGTTTGTGTGCACATCCTATATGTGTGGGGTCTACGCACAGTATTTGTGGTGTATGTGTGAATGTGGGTGTGTGTGTTCTCTGCGTGTGCGGGTGCGTCTTCTGTGGAATAGTGTTGACAGGAGAAGCAGGAAGAGGCAGAGGCCTGCAGAGGAAACAGAATCAATATCCAAGGGGAAATAATAAAAAGTAGCAATCGTAGAGCAAAATGGCAACAGGCAGCCAGCAGGTTGGTTTCATCGCGTTTCCATCATGCCTGGACCACCCACTGACATGTGAGGGTTTGATACTGTTTTCAATCAGTGTTACTCCAGCTCATAGGGGACGGTTTGATGCCCACTGGAGTGACACACACATTTTTGCACTTTCACTCCAGCTTACACACATACACACACACACACACAGGTTATTGTTTATCCCTTGATGATCAGGAGTTTATTGCTTTTGAGAGAGCGAAGTGCTGTTGTGTTTGTTTCCTTCAATTCAATCGGCTGCTCCCAAAGCCTGAGGCCCTATGGATATGAAGCTATTTTGTTAGTGTGACACATAAGAGGTAATGACATAATGAAATTGTCTGACCTTTCCCAAGTTTATGTAAAAGTCAATTCCGATTCGAGGTCCAGTAAGATTAACGGAAAGTAAACACTTCCAGTGAGTAGTTTCACAGTCCTGTCCTGAATTTTAAAGGGACAGTTTTTTTTGTCTGTATATTGCCACTATATATTTTTTTTTAATACTGTAAGCAGTGGCTCCTTTCACCATTCAAAACCACCCGACACAGTATCTCCCAATGAATCATGGAATTTACAGTGAAGTGAAGATGGAATAAAGGTCAATACAGCAATAACACAGAGGAGGAAAGATGTTTCTGTTTCCTTGAATCTGACAGCTTCAACTGGGCAAGGGCTGTCCAGCTGTTGTCCATGTCTATTTGTTCAGTAGAGGACTAAGAGGTGTGCTTTCTACCTGTGTTCTCTGTCTTAATCACACACACACATACACACACACACACGCACCTGGCTTCAGGCCTAAACGGGTAGAGTGGTAAACGGAGCAAAGTCAGTGGCAGAGACGACAGCAGAACAAGACAGATGTTAACAAGCCTGACAACACCTGTAAAAGGCAAGAACAGCCCGTGACTACATTGCTGTTGTTACGTTTTCTTTTAATCTTCATTTATACAGGGTAGGTTTGATGAGCTTGCATGGTCATTAGACAGTAGAGCGGCACTCCGTGTACAGTTACACTGATTTTGTGAAGGCAGGAAAATCCGGAAAGTATATGATAGTTATTAGGTTCATCGCAATTTCCACATGAGCCTATTTTCAAATGTTGGGGATTATGCAAGATTGAAAGATATAACTGGCAATTGAACATTTTTCTGATTGATAAGAAATGCAATGAAAAGACCAGTGGAAAAAAAGTGAACAAACAATTTACTGCAGTAATAAGTATTTCATGTGTAGCTGATAGAGCTCTACTATTGTCCACAAACTATTAAAAACATATAGTGGGTGCAAGTCTGAGACCATTTTCCAGATTTCTGAACTACATAGCTGCACTGGATGACATGTTTCAAGACGGCCACTGTTATTTATTTTGAGTCAGCGCCACACACGCCGTCCTGCTGCCCCCAAATACTCACTAGAGCACCAAATCCATCGCTGAAAATAGATCCCAAAAAAAGGCTATGTGTCTATGTCTATAACTGTTTCAGTAACATTTGCTAAGAGATACAGTCACCATCTGTTTTAAAAAAATAACTTACCCTTTGTTGAAAATACAACTATGTATTTGTGACTGACCTTTACAAATATGCGTCTTCTGTAGCAATGACTGGGCCTGGAGCTGAGTGCCGTAGAGAAGATAGGGAAATTGGAAAGCAATGACACACATGGAATAATGCAGTGCAGTTTTGGTCTTTTAATTAGATTCACTGGCAATAGATAGAACACGGAAAACACAGGCCTTATCCTTTAAAGATACGTTATGTAACATACATATGCAGTATGATCCAAGTTGTTTAAGTGAGACAAATGAGCTGGAGAAATAGGCCAAAGCTAGATCAGGGACAGAATAATGGTAAATACTACTTCTGGAAGGCTTGTTTGTTAGTGTTTATGTGTCTTTTGTTAACTACTTGAGGTTATCATTTAGTCGTGGTGAGCCCATAGAGAGAGGAGAAACAGAGGGAAGGGAAGACAAAGACACACGAGATAATGAGTGAAAAAGACTGCAGCGAATGGGCTCCAGTGTGGCCATGAGATAAAAATCTCCTAAATCCTGAAAAGACTTTGGGGCTTCCAGTCGAGAGCCTTGCACAGTTTGACACATATGGCTCAATTTTGACAGGATGTTTTCTTGTAAATCCTTCTCAAATACACAATGTGATTGATCTCTGTGGATGTGACCATTAGAAAGTTCACATGAAGTCCACTAAATACCGTGGCAACCATGTCACAGCCAAGGTACAAAACAATCACAGGACACAAATAGAGTGGAGGTTATTACTGGGATGGAAACGCTAACACTTCACACTACTGACAGGCTAATTAAAAAGCCTCATAATCTGGCTGTGATCACTCATTCTGAGTTTGTATGAAAAGGATGAAGGTGGCGCAAGTGCTCTCAGCGACCTGTCCTTGTGATCCTGTTGTCACACAAGTGTTCGGCCTGCAGAAGACGGTGACTTCATTGAGTATGACATGTTGCTAACAGGCCAAGAATTATGTCCTGCAGTTGTGGTGCAAAAAAAGGCAAAGTGACGGCTAACAAGTACAAGAAAGCACATACTAATAACCTTTAAGTGTTTGTCCACAGCTTGGTTAGGTTTAGAGGAAAGTGGCACCTTTCATTCAATTTTCATTTCCCTATAAACTGCAAATTAATGTATGTAGCAACAAGCAACGACCCCTCAACTAGTACTGTAATATTTACAGACGTGTTAAATATCTTCAGTGTAATCATACTCAGAGGTGCAGTATATCTACTGCTTTAGTAACCAACA